TTAAGTATTATTATTATATTCAAAATTTAAATCACAAAAATTTTATTATTATTAAAATTTTCCTGTTGATCCTGTAGTAGTAGATCATTATCTCGTTTCAACGGATTTAGGTGGTCAGTCCCATAGTAATAGTAATAGATCCGTTGAAACGAGGTTTGACTGTATTACGTACTTACGGTAATTAGGCAATTACTATCCCACCCATGTATAGTGTTAACAACGGTTTGCATAGAAAATTTTCACAATAGTAATTAATTTCGTCACCCGTAATTAATTACGTAACTACGTTTTTAAAGAAAGTGTCACTTAATTACGTTAATTACCATCTCATGTAACAGAACTCTACAAAAAGGAAATTTAATTGTGGCTTGAATTTTTACATATAGGCGTGACATTTAATAGTAATGTAATGACACGTGATGATTAAAATTTGTGGGTTGGGATGGTAGGAATTACAGAGCATTTACCAACTTTAAAAATTAAATCTTATTTGTCACATAAGTTCTGTATATAGGTTTACCCTTTTATTTATTATTGAGCCCTTTTTTGGGCTGTAGTACAACAGTTTTATCATTTCGAAAAAAAATGTTAAATTCCCCAAAAAAAAACAAATCATCATCAATTCAACAAAATAATGATAATAATATTGATGAATATAATAAAAGAATTTTGGTAACAGGATGTTTTAAGGAGAATGAAGAATTACAAATATGCTATGCAGATAAGAAAGATTGGAGGTTATGTAAAGAAGAATTGGAAAAATTTAAAAACTGTTGGAAAAAAAATCAAAAGAAAAAATCCAATTAGGAAAGGTTTTATTATTTTAATTAAAAATCAAATATTATTTTTTTTAAATACAATATTTGAATATAAAATATACAAATAAAATCTCAGAAGAAATTCTATCCTGTTCTCCATTTACCAATTTTTGAATATTAGGATCCTTTAATTATCTGAAATTAAATAAAAATACTCTTTAATATTCATTGATTATAAAGGTTAATATATATATATATATATATATATATTTGAAGACACTCTTTCGATACTTTTGGATATTCTTGACTTTGTTGAAGAATTCACTGTATAGCAGGATCAGTTGGAATTTCTATTTCATGTATATATTTTATATTAAATAGGAAAGTTATTTACCACAAGTTCTGGATCATTAGATGCTCTTCTTCAGGATTTTCAGCTATTGTACATTTCTGGCTACATGACATCCAAGTATTTGTTGATCAATCTCTGTATGCATACCATCTATATCATAAGTTAATGCTGTTTGACAAATTTGTATAGCCTTTCTTTAAAAATTACATGATTGCCTTATGAATCTTACAAATATATGTTTTGACTTAAATTTATTCTATTCATTTTAGAATAAAAATATCAATCTAAAAAATATTACCAAATGTAGGACCAATGCTTATACATGTTTTGCAGTCATTTAATGCATCTTGATATTGCATAAGCTTAGTATAAGTTGCAGCACGATTAGTATAAGCTTATGGATTTTACATTACATCTAATAGCTTCAGTGTATGAAAATAATTTCTGCATCAAATCCAGATATTTCAATAAAAAAAAACCATTTATAGAGGCAACAATTATTATTTAAGGGAAAGAATGAACTCAAGGCAATGAATATGATAATAAATAAGGTTGGGTTTATTTTTATTAATAAAATTTTATGTCAATGTAATATTAGTATTACACAAAAAATGACTACCAGACTTTTCCAATTGGTATATAATAATCAACTTGCATTGCTTCTAAAACAAGAAGGTTGGGAAAAGGCTTTTTTAGCATAAGCTGAAAAAACTTATTCATGATGAAGAATGTTCACCAGAAAAAAAAAGAATTATATGATGTGGTAATTAAATAGAGTCACACATATTATATTTTGTTGAAATTTTTTCATATGATTTAAAATCAAGGATTTGACACTGCAAATATATGGGTGTCTATTTTATTTTCCCTTCATATAATGAGCTGCCTTACTGCTTATACATGATGCTAGGATTGTTTGTTTTTATCATGACATACAAATTGGTCTCCTTTTATACCTATGACACACAATTTTTTGCAGTTTGCTTGCTTACACTATTATTAATATCTTCTTCCATTTTTTTTTTATTCTTTTCTTTATTGATTCTCTATCATCTCCCTTCTAGGATTCATTTTTGATAGAAGTGAAGGCAAGCATTCTGTCGATTTCTTTCTTCAAGTAATTCACAGTTTCAATTGTCATTTCACTGAATGAAAATGTCAAGTCTTGTTTAACCTTTTAACCAAATAATTGTTTGAAATTCTTCCAAATATTTTTGCTCACCAACAGTTTACTCAATTTATTTTTTATTTTGACTTTAAATGCGTGAATTTTGTATCCAAACACCCACCCCAAAATTTAATCAATCACTATAACGGATAATTAAATTTTGTATAACGTATACTGTCTATAACGGATTCACGTGATCTAAAAATAGTTCTCTACAAATTAATCAAAAATAAACCTTATTTAAAATAAAAACCTATGATTGTTTAAATCTTAATAATCTTAAAGTATATAGAAAACAATGAAATGTTGTTAAATAAGAGAAAATCTTTAACTGCATTGGTAAAAAGTAAGGGTTGTTTAGCAAAGCAGACAACTCCGATTCCAACAAACAAAGAATTAGCAACAACTTAAAGTCAAAAAATAGGATTTAATTCAAAAATACAAACCTAAATCAGATGATTTTTTTAATATTAACATTGAATGGTTTTTTTTATGTTTCGTTAAGTACGTGACTTCACTGACTGGATCCTACGGCGCGTGTCACAGTAATACATCTACTTTTTATATTAATATAGAGAGAGGATCAGAAATTTTAGCAATATTTTTTAAATGTTTTAATTCCAACTATTGTGATTTTTGTGATTTAATTTTTGTGGATGAATTAAAATTGATACATTTTACTTCATAATTTGGGGAGGGGGACAATTTCAAAATTTTTATAAACTTTAACTTGACATGACTCCTGTTGCATTGAACTTATTTAACAAATTCCGATATAGTTCAATAGCTTTTAACTAGAATATTTCAAAAGTTACATGAAAATTTAATTCATGTCAATTTTAAGAAGACCAATTATTTTGGATGTAATGTTGTGACATGCACTGTATAATGGATAATCTCAAAGATCCGTTATAGAGAGTGAACTGCATGCACAGGAAAGTTTGCTCGTAAAGGTAATCATTTATTATTTGCTTTTTCAAGTACTTAATTTATTTTGTTTTTTTAATTAGTATTATCTAATAGAATAGAGTTACCAGTTTGTCTTTTCTTATTTTGATTATTGATGATAGGACAATTCAAACCTAGACCATAATTATTTGCCTTGAATATCTTTCAAATATTTTTGACAATGGGGGCTGAAGAAATAATAGATTTGCAAATAAATAATAAAATAAATAAGCTATATTCAATGTTACATTTATTATATTTCAATGAGAAAAAGTTATTGATTCAAATTATTATTATTACTATTATTATTATCATTATTATTATTATTAACAAATATTCTAATATTAATAATAAAAAAAAATAATTTTTTCTTTTTTGTGTGTATATATATTATAAATTAAGGCGTGTGTGTATAAATCCTATCGATGATAAACTAAGGAATTAATAAATAAATATAAAAATGAAAAATAATAGTAAACTGTTCATCGAATTAAATAAATACACATATTTTCTAATCTTTGAAATCTACAAGATATTTTGTCTATCTTTTAATAATATCTTTAATTCTTTCAATTAATCAATCAATACTTCTCTCTATATACAAAAACAAGAAAGTTTTGAATTGAATTGAACAATAATAATCATGACAATGATGGTAATGATTGTTTGCTTTTTATTCCATTCCTAGATTTGACAAAGATTTACTAGTTGGAGACAAAGATAAGGAAGATAAATTAGAGTGATCAAGTGGTGCAAGACTATTTGATTGTTCTGGATTAGTTTCTAAAGTCAGAGATTCCGAGAGTGTATGATGAGATTCTTTTAATTTTTGAAAACGTGACAATTGTAACTTTTCACAAAGAAATCACAAATTAATAATTATATTTTAGAGGAGGAAATAATCCAGTCAAGTAATAAAACATTTATCAAAGAAAAAATTTTTTACCTTTGATCTATATACAGAATTAGGCATTGTATTCCCTGAACCTCCTTGTTCATCAGTTCCTGTTGAACTGCCATTAAATATTTTTAATGGCTCACGTTCATCAACCATTCGTACAAATTCGCCAACATCATCATCTGGTTCTAAAGATGCAAAGAATGACTGGAAGAAAAAAAACATATATATTAAAATTATTTTATTACAAATGAACTGAATTAATAATAAAAAAAGTCATTACAACTAACAGAATTTATTGACCCACGATCACTTGCTGAACCATCACTTCTGTTTGTTAAACTTGATTTTGATCTACGTCTGCTACCATTAATATTATCACGATCTTTTAAACTTCCACCTTTATCAGATCGATTACTAAAACTTGGAGAAAATTTTGGAATCCCAACTGGACTTCCAAACGAAGAATTTGATTTTACTGGCGATGATAATGGCATTGGTATGCTACCAATAGATAATGGCCTTCCTGTGGGTGTGGTATAGGTGTTACGTTGTTGAAGCGATATTTGAGAAGGTGATCGATTTGTTGGTGATGATGATATACGATCAGGAAAAGTGGGTGATGGAATATTTATATCAATTTGAGATGAAGGTGACGATGATAACGATTGAGACTTTTTAAAAGGTTGAACGAGTGTTACATTAGGACGTGTGGCCGTTGAAATAGACGATCCTGACGGGAAAAGTGTGTCACGTTGCTAATGTTTAATTAAAAAAAAAATATATTTATTTATTTGTCTTGATAAAAAATATAATACATATAAATTTTTTTTCCTTTAAAAAAAACTGACCCCATTTCGATACGTCGTCGGACTGGCAGCAAATTGTTCGGATATCCTTCTCGAGTCTGGTGTTCTGACAAATAATGTAGGTGGAGTATTATTACTACTTGAACCAAATGAGGTTGAAAGATGTGTAGACGATGAATAATTTTTGGAAAAAGACAGATCGGCATTAGATTCTCTTAATTGAGGGTTTGATCTAGAAGGGCTTAATGATTGGACAGAAGGTGGTGTTGTTCCCAGTAAAGAATTAAGATATTGAGGAGATGTTCCTAAATAAGACATTCTCTGAAATAAACAAATATAAAAATTATTTGATAAATAAATACATCCGCACATACACACATGCACATATTATATTGCGTACATTGATTTTTGTTAGGATATTTTCATCTTGATCTTGTTTATCTAGTTGTCTCTGTTCTTCTTGTTGATAATAATAGGCCATTGTAGGCGTAAAGTAATTTTCTTCCATATCTAAGAAATCTAAACTAATCATTGATTCAGTCTCATCAATATCAAATTCACAATTTGTCCTATATTGTACTCTCAAAGAAAATACGCTTCAAATGACGCAAATTAACATTTTACAAAATTAGAAATGATATTAATAATAATAATTGTTATGATTAGTTATTATTTTTACCCAAAAGGTGTATCTATCGAACCAAATCTAAATTCTGACGCAGTAGGCAATAAATCACCTTCTACTATAGATTCACCTAAACATATAATAGTTATAATTATAATAAAGTTAGAATCAAAAACTGTTAATCGCTCATCATCCTATAATATAATATTACCTATTCCAATATCATCTTTCATTTCACTATTTGAGGATACAAAACGATATCCAATTTTCAAAGAATTATTTAATTTCAATTTTTTTATTTTTCTAAAAAGTTTATAAACCGGTAATAACCTAACGTATGCATATAATGATCTGAAAAATGTAATTGATTTTTTATAAACAACAGGAAGCTCCGGTGGAGGATCTGATGGAAGTTGTCTATATATATATTTATTAATATTTTATATAATTAATTAAATTAATTAATAAATTAAATAAAAAATATAGGATAAATTTTTATTAAAATTAATATTTTTTTTTCTCTTTCTCTCTTACTTTAATGATAATTGCCATCTTTCTAGTATAATATTTTTTGTTATTTTATTGTCAGTTTCATTTGAATTATTGCTAAGAATATTCATTCTAACTTTACGTTTTACATTTTCTGTGGTAAGTGCTAGTACTTGATCCTTTGTTAGAGACGAAGTGTCCAAAAAAAATTCTATTATCATAGGATCCACTAATGATCCGGAAGACGATATAGCAGTATGTCGCCAATATTTAACATCTTCTTTATAAATATCCGAATCCAATAATTCTAAATTGAACTTTAGTCGTTATAAAAAAAAAAAAAGGACATATATGCGAGTATAAGTACGAGTATAAATATGAGTATATATTTTTTGAAAAAAAAAAAATTTATTACCCATTTATTGGTTTTTCTTGTTTGTTGAGCATGACGTGGATGTAAACCCAAATTTAGAGCGTTAAGTCCTTTTCCACTCGATTGACTATCATATTCAGTTAAACGAGCTTGAGTGAGAATTTGAGCGACTTTAGTATAGAAATTCTTTAAAGAAAAAAATTAATTAGTAGAAGAATAAAATTATTTTAAAAAAAAATCACCAGTAATAATACTATTGTTATTATTTAAAAGTCAATATTTTAAACTACTAGCTTTTTTAAAAAAGTACCTGAACGATCTGTTCAGTTTTTGTGATTTGTCGAGACACTGTTGTTTGATTTGATTGATTTGAAGGGTTATTAAAATTCAAGGTAGGAGGTGAGGAAGAGTACTGTGAAGAAGAAGACGAGGGAGTTCTATGCATGTCATGCATGCGGCATCAAGTTGCTACCTTTTAGATATATATATATTTATATATATATTTTGAAATACAAGATACTCTCTCAAAGTTAGAAAGAGCAGCAGTTAGTTTTATGTTACTCAAAATATATATTGATTTAATAAAAGATGTGTTTAAACTCGTGATCCTTTTAAGATAACCTCAAAAATAGCAGCTCATGCGGGACAATTTCCGAAAGGTTATTAGTATTAGTAGTCACAGGACATGTCACATCAATTGATTTTCTATATGTGAAAATAAACTCGAAATTCGTGTCATATGAAGTTTTTTTTAATAAACTCGAACTTTGTTGTTAAAAATGTAAGTACTCCATTAAAACTTTCTAATGAATACTCTTTCATATCAAAAGGTCCTCTCTACATGAATTCACAGCTATTCAAAAACTGTATTACTTTTTCACTTCAAAGCTCAGATTATTTCTCAATATTGCTTTAAAAGACTTGATAGTAAACAAGAAGATGTAGAATACTTTAAGCTTTCATATGGTCATTACTTTATGGGGGGGTATTGGTTAATAAGTTTTAGAGAGGTTCATGAAAAACTATCTTATAGAAATTTAATAGTCATGAAGAATTTTTGTAGATGGGATTCAGCAAAAACTAAAAGGTATTTTATTAGATTGTTTTATATTTCTGACTTTATATTGATTAAAGT